GAGCATGCAACTCTTGATCTTGGGTCATAAGTTCAAGACCCACCTTGGGCATAGAGCTTACTTGAAAAAAAAAATCATAAGGAAGAGAAAATACATTTCCAGTACCATGAGTGGACCTGTGCAGTTCAAACCCATGTTGTTCAAGGGTCAACTGATTATTGGAGCACTAGTATATATCTGTTGTTAGAATGAATGAACCCTTTGCTAAATCTCTCTCTCTCTCTCTTTTTTTTCAATAATCTCTATTCCCAAGGTGGGGCTCCAACTCACCACCGGGAGATCTAGACCAGAGTCACCTGCTCTTCTGACTGAGCCAGCCAGGAGCCCCTAAATCTCCTCTTAAACATAATTTTACATGAGGATACATTCTTGGGAGATGAATTTTTTGAAGGTTTTAGATTCTTATGTCTGTGCTGAATGGTTATCCAGAAAGGTTGCTGGTATCCATCACTAAGAAAGTGCTAAACTGGTATTTAAAACTATTGCTTCTGTTTTTAGAGGACAAAGGCTATAGAAAGAACATTAACACAGCTTTAGAAAGGGATATATAGGGCGCCTGGGTGGCTCAGATGGTTGAGCGACTGCCTTCAGTTCAGGTCATGATCTCTCCAGGTCCTGGCTGGGATCAAGCCCCACGTGGTACTCCCTGCTCAGTAGGGAGTCTGCTTCTCCTTCTCTCCTCACTCGTGCTCTCTCTCTCAAATGAATAAAGTCTTTTTTTTTTTTTTAAGATTTTATTTATTTATTTGGCAGAGAGAGACACAGCGAGAGAGGGAACACAAGCAGGGGGAGTGGGAGAGGGAGAAGCAGGCTTCCCGCGGAGCAGGGAGCCTGACGTGGGGCTCGATCCCAGGACCCTGGGATCATGACCTGAGCCGAAGGCAGACGCTTAACGACTGAGCCACCCAGGCGCCCCTCAAATGAATAAAGTCTTAAGAAAAAAAAAAAAAGAAAGGGATATATACGCCTGGTTAAAGGGGAAGAATTTTTACAAGATCAAAGTTATGCATGGTGATTCAATCACCCCTGCAAGAGGACACCTACGAGGAATCCCGATATTCCCACTAGGGGCATAATTCAGAGTGCGCTTGTATAAACATAACTTACTTTCCTTAAACCTGTGAAATGGAAAAATAGCTTATTTTTCTACGTCAGCAATCACCTGGCTTGGTTGTGAAAAACCAGTTTGTACCCACCACTCTTTGGTGTTTTTTTGTCGCGCTTCTTATAAATAGTTGACTTATCTTACTTAGCCATTTCATTATCAAGATCTCCTAAGTAAAATAACACTCAGTTTACTAATGAGACATCTAACCGCTTAACTGAACTTCATCCACACTCGGTACACCTAATAATCAACCCCCAAACATCGCCTATCCATCAGAGAAGAAAAATTCAAAAATCTACAAAAACGAAAAAAAAAACCCACTTCTTTTATTATTAAAAACAAGGGCGCCGGGACCAACGATCACCAGCTGCCCAGGTACCAAAAAATTATGCTTCCGAAATCTCTTGATGTCGATTCCGCACGAAGAGCAATGGAGCTGCCCTACGTGTGCCACTCACGACAGAAGCCCTTTTTGCCTTTCCAGAAACGAAAACAGGGAGGCAGTGCTGGCGAATCCCTCTTTCGCTAAAGGTGAAAACAAAGTGGAAGCAAGTTCTTATCCTTACTCCTCAAGTTGAAGGGGGAACTTCAAGACATGCTGAGCCGTAGAGCAATATTCACAAGAAGACTTTGTCTTTCGATTTTTATATAGAAGTAAGGGCAAGGACGTAAATTGATATGCAAATATGCGCGGTGCTTGCTGGGAAGGGGCCGGCGGGCACTGAGGGAGTGGCAAGGAAGAGCGGTTGTAGGAGCGAGCTGGGAAGCTGTCGCCGGCTGCGGTTGGCGTCGGGTCGCACCTTTTGTACGTTACGCGAGATACCCGCTTCTCGGCGGCTGTGGGTACCTATCTGGGGAAGACACGAATCCCACCCTATTAAAATGGAAAATGCACAAACTTGTACCACCCGTGGCCATCCAACCTGAAGCGGCCCCACCGTGGGAAAACTGGAGGCACAGGGAGAGAAGGACTGGGACCAACCTAATCTTCTGCTAATGATTAGCAGAACGTAGTGTGTTCATAAAGTGGAATGAATGCGATCTACTGTGCTGCCAAGGAGTGAATTAAACACCAAAAAGCACTGAGTGATAAGAGTTGCCGAATAAGGTACAGCAGGATGACCATTAACGTGAGGGGAAAGAAGCAATACTAAATTTGGATTGGTTAAAGTAGATCTTTATCAATAGATATAAAAAAAATGGAGTGAAGGTGTTGAATAGGGTACCACATATCGTTAATGTAATAAAGAACATACACGTGTGCACATAAAACCCAGTGCTATATATTTTCTAATGCCACATACTTTATTAACTTTTTAAAAAAAGATTTGCAAAAACACACATCACTGATTACCTCTGGGAAGGAGGGAAGGATGGGGACCATGACACACAAGAAATCAGACTTACCTGTAATATTGTAATTATTTTAAAAAGCATCATGAGCTATTTCATTATTGCGTAATTTTATTACTTGCATAATTGAAAATATTTTTTAACTTGTCCTTGCTTTCTATATTTTCTCTATTTCATTATTTTTTTTTAAGATTTTAAGTAATCGCTGCACCTAATGTGCAGCTGGAACTCACAACCCCAAGATCAAAAGTCACATGTTCTGACTAAGCCAATCAGGCTCCCCCCATATTTCATTTTTTAAAGTCAGGTTTGTTGATATATAATTTACATATAGTAAGTTCACCTTTTTTACCATATGGTTTAACAAACTCATATAGACATGTATCTGCTACCACAATCAATCAAATATCACACATTTATATCACCCCCAAAAGTTCCTTGGTCTCCTTTTCTAGTCAACCCTTACCCCTAGTCCCAATCCTGGTAATCAGTGTTCTTCTCTGGCCCTGTAGTTTTGCCTTTTCCAGAATGGCATAAAAATGGAATCACTCACATATACTTCATTTTTAATATAAAAACATGTGCTAATTGTAAAAAAATTGAAACAGTACAGAAACGTGAGAATGTTTTCCCCAAACTACTATTAACAGTTTAGTGTTTCTCTTGCCAGACTGTTTTCTATGTACATATACATAGATTTTTTTTTTAAAACGAAAAATATAGACTCAGGCATTTCACTTTCCTTGATGTATTTTAATAATACATAGAGGTACCTGACCTCTACAAAGGAGAAGCTGCAGAAGGGAGTTACATAAACAGCTCTTATACTATAATAGGATGCAGACTTGTAGTATAAACTGGTGGAAAGCCTAGATGTGGGTTCTGTCAGTTGTTTGTTGGGGGCTCTTCCTATAATCCACCAGTCATCTCTTCAAAACAAATCGTTATTTCACTCCTCTATTCAACACTCCAATGCCTTCCCATTGCACAATAAATAAACCCCATGTCCTAGCCATAGCCTACAAGGTCCAGCCTGAGCTGAACCCTGCCTACCTCTCCAAACTCTTTACCCACCACTGTATCACCTATTAAGCTCCAGCCACCTTGGCCATCTTGATCCTTGAATAAGCTTTCCTAGCTCAGGGCCCTCCATCACCCAGCTAGACAAATCTGGTATTTATGTATTTATTTTATTCTGGCATTCTCTTTTCTTACACTTTTGTGTACTTTCTGATGGCCTGTTTTTCCACTCCAGATTGTAAAGTAAGTTCAAGGATATTTATTGTCTGTGGTTATCTACTGGAACATACCCAAGCACCTAGCAAAAGGCTTGGCACACAACCAGCACTCTATTTGTTGAATGAAGAATGTATATTTAAACTGGTCTTTAAAAAGATGGGGGGGGGGGGGAGGTGTTCCAGATCCTTAGGAGAATGAAGAGAGCAGTATCAGGGAAATTAGGCTAAGGAAGACTGCTTGAAGCCTAATGGTGGAAGGGGCCTTGAATCTAAGAATTCAGATATGGTGGCAGTGTAGATGGTGATTGGGAATTTGGTAGGATGAGGATTTTAAGATATAAAGACAAGGAGGGCACTGGGGGACCTGCTGGCTCAGTCAAAGAGCATGCAACTCTTGATCTCAGGGTTGGGTTTGAGCCCCATGTTGAATGTAGAGATTACTAAGAAAAAATTAACTTAAAAAAAAAAAAAAAAAGACAGGTCAGGTTACTGCACCAATACAGTTGGGAGACACCTCTTCCTGATTCCTGTGGGCAGTTACCAGGGCTCACGTTGGGCTGTCACAACCCTTTATACATTCCTGCCATATTGGCTAGGACTGGGTCTTAGATGCCTATCACCTGGCATAGGGTAAAAAAGTTATCCCAAAGCGTTTGATGGAAAAACCAAAACCATCAGTTTAATGGTTACATACAGGACAGTACTGGGCTTTACAGTGAGACTTCTGAGTTCAAGTTGAGACTGCACTTATTAGCTAGAACCTTACTTCATCCCTCACGGGTTTTCTTTAAAAGATTAAACGATATATCGGAGTTAAGCGGCTTAGCAAACTTCCTGGATGACAGTAAACGCTCAATTTTTATTATTAGTTGCCAATCCACAGGTACAAACGGTCTCTCGTCTCCAGGTTCTTGTGTTGCCAACTCCCTTGCTAAGAGTTCAACAGAATTGCCTACTGGGTGCTGCGGTCCCAGGTGGGTTTCTCCGTCCCGATAACAAGATAAAAGGCACCAACTAAAAATGGCGACCTCTAAACCATCCGAGGGCGTCAATTACCGGTAGTGCTAGCGATATATACGACAGGCGGAGACGGAAAGAAACAGCAAGGGCAGGGTTCGTAACACCTGGGTAGAAGGCGAAGGGCTCACCCACGCTGCCAGTCAACCACAAGCAAGAAAAAGCACAACGCCCGGAGCGGAGCAATAGCCTAGGACCCCGACCACGTGTCAGAGGGCAGTCTGCGCCTGCGCAAGCCAGGCGCGCGCCCGCAGGCCGGAAGAGCCGCGCGTTTCCGGGTTGGAGGCGGGGAGCGGTGCCGGAAGTACTCGGGGAGGGCCCAGCAGTCGGACCGGCTGCTGAGACGAACGCTTCACTGGGGCAGTCTCCGCATATCATGGGGAGATAGACGCTGCTGCCTGTGAGTCTTGGGCCCTGGCAGTTGAGGAAGAAGAGCGGGAGGAGGGAGTCAGGACCCAGACCCACAGTGGGTCAGTGTTTGAAGAACTAGGTTGTGGAGGAGACCGGATTGTGCGAGGAATCAGGCTGTTGGGACGGGACTGAGGGGATCGGGGCTCGGAGAAGACGCGGCTGTGGGGACCCGGGCTGTAGACGGGACTTAGGGAACGGGGACGGATGTGAGTTCTCCGGCACCTGAGGGAAAGCGGTGTGAGAGGGACAGGATTGTGAAGACCCATGCTCCTAAGAGGAGAGGGTCGGAAGGGAAAGGGGCGTGAAGACACGGGCTTCGGAAAGGTAAAAGCGGAGCTGTGAGGACTTGGGCTCCTAAGAGACAGAAGCGGGACAGTGAAGATCCAGGCTCCTAAGGAGTCAGAAACAGGGCAGCAAAGACTTAGGTTCCTAAGGGGCAGGAGCACTCAGAGAACACTTGGGTTTGGAAGGAACAGCAGCGGGCAATGAAGACGGGCTTCTGTGGGGACGGGATCTGGGCTTGGAGACTCCGAAGTACCTGAGGGAACAGGGCTGTGAAGACCCGAGCTCCCCAAAGCGGAGAGTATAAGGGGCCATGGCTGCGAGATCAGACTCCAAGGGAAAGGGAGAGAGTTGGGAAAAGATCTAGTGATCTATTTTTTCCTCATATACTCTGAATCCAGAGTGGTAAAGGATGTATTCAGGGGAAGAAGACCCTTCCTTCCCGCTGCCTGCTTGGCTTTTGGCAGGCTTTTCTTGTGCCAGATACTTTCTCTAGGAAAGCCCCATGCAAGCATCTTCGTTTTCTGCTTCCTTCTTACGAAGCTCTGATGTGAAGTCGAAGCCGTTTGAACTCAGTTATATACTTGATAAGTGCTTTAAATACCATTCCACTCGACCCTGATTGAGCACAGATCTCTGCATCTCAAATCAAAGAATGTTAGAGATGGGAGGACAGGATGGCCCAGAAAGATAATCTTTTTTAAACTCCTGTTTTATATGTAAAGAGGCTAAGGTCCAAAGAAGGTATAGGATCACAGTGAGGTAGTGATTGATTAGATCATAATTTTGATATAGTACCCTACTGTGCCTAGCAAATAGGAAATACTTGGCTAATATCCTTGAAAACATGCTTCTAGAATCTTTGCTTTAACTTCTAACGCAAGAGGGAAATTTTTTACAAATTTAGTACTTCATTTTGAGGCTTGTTACTGTATTGACATCAATACAGTGAATGTCACTTAACCAGTTAAGGAACCTTTAAACGAAGCCCCCTCCCCCCCAAAAATATAGTAAGCAGTTTAGAAAGTTGTAGATAAGTAAGTTGTATCCTATATTTTTAGTATAGGCATTTACTGGAGATGGCTGCTTTTATTTTATTTTTTATTTATTTTATTTTTTAAAGATTTTTTATTTATTTGAGAGAGAGAGTGAGCACAAGCAGGGGGAGGGGCAGAGGGAGCAGGAGAAGCGGGCTCCCCCCCTAAACTCCGACCCTGACTCTGACTCCTACTCCATCCCAGGACCCTGGGATCATGACCTGAGCCGAAGGCAGACGCTTTAACCCACTGAGCCACCCAGGCACCCCAGATGGCTGCTTTTAGATAAGAATGTCAAGGATACTTGGACGAGTTACTTCCCTTCAATAATATCTTTTACTGAAACCTACTCAGACTGATCAGGCACCATCATAAGCACTTTTAAATATTTAATTATCACTTACAGCCCCACAAGTTAGATATTGTTAGTACCAATTGGTTCAGAGAGGTTAAGTACCTTGCCAGAAAACATGGTACTAAACCCATGTTATGTGTTTGACTAACTTTTTTCTACTTTTCTAAATTCCTCTCCATATATCAGTTTGCCCATCAACAAAATAGAAATAGCACTTATATAAAAAATATCATTGAATGAAGGCATCCAGGGCGCCTGGGTGGCTCAGTGGTTTAAGGCGAGTGCCTTCCGGCTCAGGTCATGATCCCAGAGTCCTGGGATCGAGCCCCGCATCGGGCTCCTTGCTCGGCCAGAAGCCTGTTTCTCCCTCTCCCACTCCCCCTGCTTGTGTTCCCTCTCACGCTGTCTCTCTCTCTCTGTCAATTAAATAAATAAAATCTTAAAAATAAATAAATAAATAAAAGCACCCCCCTCCTCCTTAAGACTTCTCTTTATGTCAAGTACTATAACTTGTTAGGGTTCTTATATAGTGTAGTATTTGAGGAGAACTAAATTTCTGTGTTTTTAAATAAGAATAGATATTTAAGATAGGAGAATAGGACCTGAATAGAACTTTTCCTCACAATGGACTAAGATATATTTAATTTGAAATTTAAGAGGCCAAGAAAGACCAACTTGAAGAACAAGGAACTAAATTGGATTAACTTTACAATTAATTGTAACATGAACTAGATGATCAGGGAAATTGGGCTAACTAGTTGAAACTACTATTTTTTCCCAGAGAGTTAGCTTATACTATTTGCAAGTGCCTCTACTGTTTGCAAGTGATCAAAACTTACACCAAATTGTGAAATAAAGCATGCCCATGCCACCATTTCAAAGTACTTGATGGTTTAATTAATGATAACTTATTCCTGAATTAACATCCTCATCTACATTTGCAAAATGTACTTATTTCACTCATTTGTGGTTCTAGCACTGAGTTATTATAATAGTATTTCAAAGTACCTGATCAGAAAATCATTGTGTTAGAGCAGATATGAACATAGAACATATTACTTTTTTTTTTTTTAAGATTTTATTTATTTATTTGACACAGAGAGACACAGCGAGAGAGGGAATACAAGCAGGGGGAGTGGGAGAGGGAGAAGCAGGCCTCCTGGGGAGCAGGGAGCCCGATGAGGGGCTCGATCCCAGGACCCTGGGATCATGACCTGAGCCGAATGCAGACGCTTAACGACTGAGCCACCCAGGCACCCCAGAACATATTACTTTTGATCTGCAGTCTTCATGGAAAGCCCCAGAATACTTTGGAGACAATATACCAGCAGTGTTTAGAGTCTGTACTGTGAAACAGGTGTGCTGGATGCAGAAGACAAACTGAAATCAGTACATATGGACCTAATCTAAAATCTTACACTGTTTCTTAGAGCTGCAAGGGACTTTAAAATCTGTCTGATCCTACGCTTAACTATAGATGTAGAAACTAGTCAAAGGGAGCTCACATAATTCAGTGGCAGAAGTGGATGATACCCAACCCTCCTGACTTGGGTCTTCCTTGTGCCATAGTACCCCTCATCAGCCTCCTGTTGATCATTTACCGGTACCATTTTTTTTCAGTCACTATTGTTTTTTTTAATGTCTGAAGTCATAAAAATGGTTTTAGGATGGCACCAACACATACTACAATGGGGAAAACTTTTAGTTCTAATACACTGATTTTTATAACTAAGATTTAGAAGAGGAGAGCATATATATTATATAATATTAGCAAACACATTTATTTGTACTTTCCATGTGCCAGGCACTCTTCTAAGTGCTTTAGATATATAAACTCAATGTATTGTCACAACAATCCCATGAGATACACTTTATGATTAACTCAATTTTTCAGATGAGGAAATTGAGGCATAAAGAGATTAGATAACTTGCTCAGGGACATAAAGCTAATTAATAAGTGGCAGAGTTGGTACTTGAACCCAGACACTGCCCCCAGAGTCCATGCCCTCAGCCACTGTAGTATACTGCCTTTCTGTTAAGTCAAAACCACCTAGTTTAGTCAAACTAGTCAAAAAAACTAGTGGGGGAAAAAATCCCATGTTTCTGTTGTTCTCAAGTCTTACAGAATGCAATTAATTGATTCTTTCTGTTTTTTTAGGCTGGGAAATATGAGTTGGTTTAGATACATCTAGAAGCCAGTGAGGAGAGAAACAGGTAGAAAACCCAGTCAGTAAGTTAAGTCATGCACCATAGTGATAGGGCTTTTATGCCATCAGCCTAGCAGTCCCCTTCATTCCAGTATTTTGTTTAAATAATTCCTAAACATTTCAGAAGTAAAAGGGTTTTAAAGACAATCTGGTCTTCTACTCCCCTATTCTCTCCACTTAAAAAAAATCTTGTGGAGGTGGATATATGTGGGGCACTTGGCTTGCTCAGTCAGAAGAGCATGCGACTCTTGATCTCTGGTTTTTAAGTTCAAGCCCCAACATTGGGTGTAGAGTATATTTAGAAATAAAATCTTAAAAAAAAATCTGTTAATGGAAGAGTTGTCTAGAAAAGGCCATAGTCTTTTTTTTTTTTTAAAGATTTTATTTATTTTTTAGAGAGCGAGCAAGAGAGAAACAGCATGAGAGGGGCGAGGGTCAGAGGGAGAAGCAGGCTCCCCGCTGAGCCGGGAGCCCGATGTGGGACTCGATCCCAGGACCCTGGGATCATGACCTGAGCCGAAGGCAGACGCTTAACCACCTGAGCCACCCAGGCGCCCAAAAGGCCATAGTCTTATAACTACTACAAGGTATCCCCCCATCTCCTACCCTCTGAAAAATCAGATCCTCTTAATACAGTAATAGGGTTGCAACGATTTCTGTTTGAGGTACAAGCTGTTAAAAGGAAAAGCAGTGGGGCTTGTTATCCTCAGCCTATCAACCAGAGTTTAAATGTAGCTGGTAAGGGGGAGGGAGGATAGGCTTGGTATTTAATTGAACTCCCAGCCACACAATCTTGTTTTGATAAAATTACTAAATAACTTTTACTGTAGATCACTGGGGCATGGGCTTTCTGGAATTATTTTGTAAATCCCATAGCGTGTGATTTCCACATAGTAGGTGCTAATAAGGGTTTACTATTATAAGTGTTCTCCCAAACTGTCCCACAGTTAATGCCTGTTTTTACACAGCAATACTTCCTATTTCTTGGCATTCCAAGTAACTGAGAATTAGAAACTTGAGTAGCCCAAAGGCAACCATGGTATATTATGTAATGGAATTCAGGTTATTTAACAGTCACTTCATTCCATTGTGCTTGGTCAGCATCATC